CCAGTCTGAGACACAAAGACATGTCAAATCAAACGCAACCCCTTGTTCATTTATCACTTAAGTTAATTATACTGATCGTGTAGCAAGAAGCACTACAAAAAACATGCATAATGCCCAAAATGACCAAGAATGCCAATACTTTAATGCATTTTTTATTTAATCATTTCAAAGTTAATAAATTCAAACAGGATTCACCATGATAGGAAGAAATGACATCCCGTCCATCTGAGTTTCATTGACGCTGTATCCTGCGATGTCCAGAATTGTTGGACCCAAATCCACATTTGCTATAAGTAACTGTTAAAACAGATTAAAAAAAAGCAAATAAATATTATATAAAAACATTTTCTGTTAATGTAAATATTACATATACACGCTATTATTATAGCGCGCATACACAACCAAACATCACAAACAAATCTGGTTTAGAATCAAAACTTGTTTGAAAAAAAAAAATAGATTAGTAAAAAATTCCAATAATTAAAATTAAAAAAAATCAAACAAACAAATACCGAAAAATTAGATAATGTGAGAAAGTTATCTTAAAAAAAAAAAAAAAAAAAAATTAAGAAATAAAAAAGAAATAAAAAATAAGAAAATATAGGAACAAGTACAAATTTTTGTTTTATTAAATGCTTGTTTATATTACCGGGCTTGTCTGGTTGGGTTTGATATTAGGCCCTCTCACCAACAGAGGAACTCTGATATCAAATTCATAGAGTTGCCTCTTATCCATCGGAAGAGAAAACTGGCCTGAGAGAAGAAACAGACACATGACAAAATAAAAGCTAGGTAAAGTTAACGAAAAAACATTTCTCCGCTATATAACTCATTGTGTACCTGTGTGGTATCCGTTGTCAGAGGTGAAAATGACGTAGGTGTTGCTAAGCTCTCCTCTGACCTCCAGCTTTCTCACCACCTTCTCCACCAGGTCGTCTATTGATAGTAAAGTGCGCCACCTGGTGGAACAGATCATCAGTGTCGCATTACTTGCAGTGTTAATATCAAGTGCCTGATTTAAAAGCATCTGAATACCGTTTTCTGTAGGCGTTATCCAAGAACTCCACTGAAGAGTTTGTCATGGGCGTCTTTGCTTGTCTGATGAGCCAGTGCTTGTCCTGAAAAGCAGGTTGAAATGCTGTCACATTCTCAAAAAAGATCCAATCAGAATATTTCAGACACATCAGGCATGTACCTTGCCGTGTACGTTAAAGTTAGGGTCTCTTGGCGCTTTAATGTTGGGAAAATTGCTCTCGTACTGAGGAGCGGCTGTCCAGGGCGAGTGCGGGGCCGGTGTGGACACCATCATGAAGAAAGGCCTGCGGTTAGACTTGTTTTCCAAGAAGTCAATGGAAATATTGGCCTGGAAGGAATCATAAGCCACTGAACATCAAATGCATGAGGTTTGATGTAGTCTCGTGAACACAGGTGAGATCTGCTCTTACCAAAACATCTGTAAGGTAATCCTCGCTGTAATTCTGTCCATGCCGCTGCGCCCTGCCGTTCACTGACAGCGTGTAGTTGTAGTATTTGGAGTTTCTCTCCTGTAGGAATATGTTAAAATCATCGCAAATATTTCACTTGAAACTAATCTGGTTTAGAGTCAAAACTTGTTTTCAAAAACCTGAAAATAAATTAGAAATTAAAAATAAATTAAAAAATAAATACAGAAATAAAAATATAAATAATAACATTTCAATAAAGAAATAAAACAGCGAAATTAAATAAATACAAAATATTCAAATAAAGAAAGACTCTTTAATAAATACATACAAACATTTTTCTGCTCTTTGAAAAAATAAAATAAAACAAAACAAAACCTTCAATCTGCTCTCAATGACACCGTGAGCTATGAATCATGGGAGCTGCTAATAGGAAAATAATTAGAACGGCTTCAGAAAACATACTTTTTCTCTTCTGGATTTATTTCTTGCATGAGTTCTTGTACCAGCTTCCCAAACATGCTATATTTTAGGCTACAAACTGTTTTCCTAACCTTCCAGCTAAAATTAGATTTTGCAGCACTGATGGGAAAGGTTGAAGAGCTTGTCATTTCTCTACTATGATTTCACAAGCCCTTTTAATTTTTTTTATTTCTTTATTTAATTCTTACATTTTTTTACATTTCTTCATTTAATTTTTATTTTTTATTTTTTTTTATTTTAACTTTTTTATATCTTCTTCTACTTGTGATTCTCAAAGGTAAGCCACCAGGCCTCTTATTTTTATACCATTATAGTTTTTTAAAAATATATATTTTGAATTAATTTCATTTTTTCAGTTTATTTGCTTTTTTATTTTTTATTAGGTTTCTCTTTTAAAAATATTTCTGAATTATTTTATTTTAATTTCATTTTTCAGTTAGTAATTTTAGTACTTATTTCAGTTAGTTGCTCATTTTCATTTAGTTTTTCATCACAATAACATCACTGCTGTAGATGAAAAAATCAAAAATCATTTACAGTTAAATTATTACATTATTAAATGATACAGCACTGATAAACGCTCCAATCTCCTGTCTTTTTCTTACCAAGGCGAACCAGTGATCCCAGCCTGGAGGAACGTGCTCCACACCTCCTGCTTTTTTATTCCCGTACTGTAGCAGAGAAACAGACACGGATGATTCAAGGTGACGTACTGTCAACTTGATTCACCCAAAGAAAAGGTTTCATCATTATGAAAGCTCCCAGTATGTGTCTTCACCTCATTCAGATACTTCCCAGCAAAGAAGGTCTGATAGATGCCGTGTTTCTGAAGGAAGGCAGGGAAAGTCTCGGGCTCTTGGGTCTTCTGCCACGCAGTGCTGCTGCAGTTGCCCTCCAGCGTGTTGTTGACCACATGATGGTTATGAGGATATTTGCCCATCAGGATGCTCGCCCGGCTGGGACAGCAAAGGGGACTGGCGACAAACTGCACGAGAGAAGAAATGACAAGAAGAGATGACATGCAATGGCAAACATGCATGCTGGTTGATCCTCAATGCACATTTTACTTGCTATGTCTAACAAATCTATAAATATTCTCATGTAGAACAATATGAGGGCTTTTTAAGCTTGGATGACATGCAAGTTCCCATAACACTTGTATGCAACAAGGAACAGATCCAGCACAGTTTCTACTCACAGTGTTTGTAAAGGTTATCCCAGCGTCACCTATCAGCTTTTTCGTCTTCACCAAAGGGATCTGTAGAACGAAAGATGGCAAGATGCTGATGATGCAGCTCGTTTACTTAGCAACGATACATGCTAAATGCATGGAGGAAATCACGACCACGGAGAATGACAACAACAACAACAAATTCTTTGAAAATATACTCACCATTCCCCCGATAGACACATCTAGATCATCAGTTAGGATTAAAACTATATTCGGTCTGGGATTCATTTTAGCCTCGGCCAGATGGTTACAATGCAAAGTGACGCAGATGAGAATACAATGTAATATTACAAACGGAGACGAAACCATCTTTGATGCCGAATTAAAAACAAATAAAGCCATGACCTAAACGAGGACCTTTTCTTGCGATAAAAGCATTAAATACGGTTAAGGAAAACGCTCCTTTAGAGGAGCAGCTAGCTTGCTTTGTCTTGTGTACGAAATTACGAATCATACTATGGCGACGTTTTTGCCTCATGAATATTATTTATACATTCTGACGTTGCTTGGTTACCTCTTGTGGCGTCTGGTCACGTATGCTTATTTATATTCATAAGCCAAGCCCATTCGCAGGCATACTATAACGCCCACCTACCAACGTCTGCCTGACAGCCAATCAGATTCCAGTCCATCACTTTGCGTCATTAATATTCATGCACTTACCCGTCGTCATAGTAGGATTAATAAAACGTTCCTGTTTCAGTCACGTGGAGAGACGGAAGCCCCGGTCAGCTGATGTTTACGCTCAAAGGCATGATGTCATTCATAAAATTAATGTTTTATGGCTTATGTGATCATTTTTTATCATCTCGACTACTTAAATCTCTACTACGTCACAAAAGTTGTTTATGTTAATAATATACAATATTACTATAATGCAGTTTCTCGCTTTAATTTTGAAAACCACAGAGGACCCCTTTAACCATATCAACATTTTTAAAATCATTTTAACGATATTTTAGTAACGTAATTTTACTGTGAAAATATGGTCGAGAAAAATTCAGTAATGGTTAAATTGACGTGTATTTAAATTAATTTTTATTAAATTAAACTCATTTACAAAAATACTATATATTTACATTTTCATCTCGGATATACCCTTGATGTTATAAACGTAGTTTTTACCAGATGCTATTTATTTATTTGGACACGTTAATTTACAAACAATTGAGGAGTATTTTTATTTAAAAATGTTATTGTGGTGAAAAAAAACAAAAGCTGCATATTTCTCATTCACCTGTTGCTTAAAACCGTTTTGTTTGAAAGTGTCGGAGGTGGGTTGAACTATTCCTGCTGCAGGGGCGTGCAATCAGGATTTAGACCGATCAGGAAGGAAACGAGTCTGGGAAAGGCGCTGCCAACCCCGCTCAAGGAATGGAGCACACCCGGAACTCGAGTTCCTTATTGATTCATCTAAAACACTCTTTGGGTTATACTTATGCGCAGCATGTGTGCACGAATGTGTAATGTTGAATTTTAAAGAGGGCTAAAACATGTCTGGTGTGGAAGTGGCCAAAGAGGAACTTAAGGAGATAGACATATGTGACATCTGCTCGGAGGAGGAGGAGAGCGGAGTTTTCCTCAACTCAGGTGCGTCGTACCTTGACGGCTTCTCCGCGTTTCACAAATGGGCTTCAAAGGGACGTTCAGTATCGGATGGATACTGTGAGTGCGCCAAAACAGCTTCAGTCTCACTATGCAAGTGCGCAAAAGTGCCTCATGGAGCAGCAGCTGGAGAGATCCGTATGGAGAGAGCAGGGGCGTGCAATCAGGATTTAGACCGATCAGGAAGGAAACGAGTCTGGGTAAGGCGCTGCCAACCCCGCTCAAGGAATGGAACACACCCGGAACTCGAGTTCCTTATTGATTCATCTAAAACACTCTTTGGGTTATACTTATGCGCAGCATGTGTGCACGAATGTGTAATGTTGAATTTTAAAGAGGGCTAAAACATGTCTGGTGTGGAAGTGGCCAAAGAGGAACTTAAGGAGATAGACATATGTGACATCTGCTCGGAGGAGGAGGAGAGCGGAGTTTTCCTCAACTCAGGTGCGTCGTACCTTGACGGCTTCTCCGCGTTTCACAAATGGGCTTCAAAGGGACGTTCAGTATCGGATGGATACTGTGAGTGCGCCAAAACAGCTTCAGTCTCACTATGCAAGTGCGCAAAAGTGCCTCATGGAGCAGCAGCTGGAGAGATCCGTATGGAGAGAGGAGGAGGAGGTGTGTATTCGGATGAAGAGGATCTGAGAGCGTCCCGCGCATCATCTATAGTGGACTGTCTGTTAGTGGAACTCTATGACACATACAGTAATGTCAGAGGGGTGGACAGCTCGACCGAAGCCTCCAGCTCAGAAGCCTTCCTGGGCAGGAGTAACACTGGCTCCAACTTTCTCCAAGAACTTCAGGAGAAGCACACGAGGCGCCATCAGATGAAATACCTGGCTCAAAAAGGTGAGCGCCACTTTTTTTTCAAGTGAAGTCAGTTACATTCGACTCAAACTGTCAATTTATTCTTATTTATGTAAATCATACACTATCATTATTCCAAAAGTTTGGAATAATTACAGTTTTTCATGTTTTTGAAAGACGAAAGAAGGCTGCATTTATTTGTTTAAAAATACAGTAAAATCTGTAACATTGTGAAATATTACAGTTTAGAATAACTCTTTTCTATATTAATGTGTTTTAATATGTAATTTATTTCTGTGGTCAAAGATTAATTTTCAGCATCTTTATTCCAGTCTTCAGTGTCACATGGTCCTACATTTTATATACATAATTGTTTTATTTGTTTTTTATCAAATAAATACAGCCTTGGTGAGTCTTCTTTCAAAAACATTAAAATCTTAATGATATTCAAATCTTAATTATTCCATTTTTTTGTATGTGCCTTATGAAGTTCTTTTGAATTATGTATTTGAATAATTTACAGAATCTGTCCTTTTTTGAGAACCTATATTTATTTATGTTCAAATCATGATATAAAATAAAGTCTAGATGTAGGTGTTTCCTTTTGAGGTTTTTAAAAATGTTGTAGTTTTCAACATTTTTTTCATTTTTTATACTTATTGTATTTCAGTTTTGCTGTGCATTTGCTTCTGGAGTGACATTACTCTTAAGCGATATTAAAAGAAATATTCTCTCAATATGATTACGTTTTAGATTTTGTGTGCCGCATTGCAGAACTGACCCAGTTTTAATGCCAATCTGAGAGCCAGTTAAAACTTAACCCTTTGTTTGCTGAAGTAATTTAATTGTTGTCTCAGGTGCTCAGGTTCTTTGTAGGCCATAATGACAATTTACATACAGAGGTCTTTTGTATACACACGTACACACAGTGTTAAGTCAATCATAATGATCTTAATCTGTCTACATAAGTTCCAAGTTTTCACACATTAATTTGAGATTTGTGTGCTTTTTTATTTTCTAAAAAATGAATGCATTTCCTATAGATTTAAACCAGCTTTATTTTGTGCTCAGGTCCAGAGGAGCTAAAGTGGATCATTCAGGAAGTGAAGTATCGTATTGGAGTGCAGTCGGCCAAACTGGTGCGTCAGGTCAAGAGGAAGGACAGACTTCGGCAGAAGTTTCAGAAGAACTGTGATATAGTCACCGCCTGCCTGCAAGCCATCTCTCAGAAAAGACGTAATTACAAATCATTCTCTCATTTCACTCCTCTTCCAGTCATTATTGTTTTAAGTAGTCAGTGTTATATTACCCAAGGCTTTCTTTGCTATTTGAAGACTAATGTATTCTAGATCGAAAGCATGTCTTTGCTTTCACTGACGCTTGATGTCTGTTATTCCTTAAAGGGGTCATATGATGCGATTTCAATTTTTCCTTTCTTTGAACCTTAAACCGCATAAACACATTTCATTACACCAAATACACAAAATACTGTTCTTTTTAGCAGCATCATATGACCCCTTTAAAGGAATAGTTCACCTAAAAATGAAAATTTGCTGAAACCCTCAGGCCATCCAAGATGTAGATGAGTTTGTTTCTTAATGAGAACAGATTTGGAGAAATACAGCATTATATCATTCACTCGTCAATGGATCCTCTGCAGTGAATGGGTGCCGTCAGAATGAGAGTCCAAACAGCTGATAAAAATATCACAATAATCCACACCACTCCAGTCCATCAATTAACATCTTGTGAAGTCAAAAGCTGCAAACAAATCCATAATTAAGATGTTTAATGTCACAAGACATTAATTGATGGACTGGAGTGATGTGGGTTACTTGTGGATTATTGTGATATTTTTATTAGCTGTTTGGACTCATTCTGACAGCACCCATTAGGGCTGTGCTTGTCAGTGAACCACGGCTCGGTGTAGTAAATGCTGCTCCATCTGAAAGCAGGTGATGGAGATTTACTACAAATCACAGAACTGACTTTACTGACGAGATGTGCATGATCATCGCATTCGATTATTTGCACAGCACCCATTCACTGCAGAGGATCCACTGGTGAGCAACTGATGTGATGCTAAATTTCTCCAAATCTGTCCTGAAGAAACAAGCTCATATACATCTCGGAAGGCCTGAAGAGGAGTACATTTTCATTTTTGGGTGAATTATAACTTTAAAAGGGTGTGTAGTATAAGTAGCGGTTGCTGAAAAGCTCTGGGTCCCATATATCAAATGCATTTTTTCTTCACCTTGTTCTAGTTCTCTGTTGATGTTTTAGAAGACAGTGCTCTCAAATATCTCACCACTATCACAGGATTGACTCCTCCTCACCTTTACAACTTAATTATTTGCATTAGATCCAGAACACAGACTATGTTCAATATCACTGAAATTCAATCCATTCGGTTTCAGAGGCGACTCATTCATGTGATGAGTTTATGACACTTACATGCAAATTTGCACTGTGATGTTGTTGAACTATTGGTCTCAAATTTGTATTTGCATTTTGCTTGGAAATTAGTAATTGTGTAGTCATTGTGCAGCAGTAATTCCTTTACACATTTGGATGCAATGGGTGCTTTTGTTTTATGTATTTGGTTCAGGCACAAGCATGTCCAACAAATACAGCGGCCTTCCATCTTTTAATGTCTTTTTCCTCTATTTTATCTACATGCAGCGTGACAAGTACTAGTCAAACAGGTACAGTATGAAATCACATCAAGACCATAGCTCTGCATGGTTGCCATTCATCAGTCAGTGTCTAATGTCTAGTGTCACTTTGTAGTTGTGAATGGTTATGGTTCAGTTTTTTATTTGTTGACATGTTTATTTTTGTAAACATGAGTAGCATGGTTTATCACTGTTTTCTCACTGAATGCATGTCAGGAAATATACTAGAATGCTTATCATCCAATGGAAAAAAATATAATATATATTTTCCATATCAGGACTTTTTTTTTTTGCCGGAATTTTTTAAACAACTGTTTTGCGTCTCTCTCATTAGTAGCATTAAGGGTGCTCTCTTCATAGGGTGAGTGAGTTCAGGTAAATTTGGAAACTTTTGGGCAATAATTAAGAAATTTTAATGATCAAATTTGCCTGATTTACCCTATTGTTTGGATAGTTACTTGAATTTGGAATAATTTGAGACCAATTAAAAGAAAACCTACCTTATTGATTTATTTTTGATTATTTCTTTCACTAATAATTAATTACTAAAATAATTTACTACTTCCTCCATGTTCAAACAGTACAACAGTTCCTTTGTAAATTATTCAGCCTGCTTGTGTAAAATGACTGAATTTATGGTGATTACTCTACTCTTTTACTCTAATCGGGTCCTAAATCAAGAATGTTTACTTTTAGATTTTCTTGTATTCTTAAAGTAAAGGTTCTTTACTGGAATCTATGGTTCCATGAAGAACCTTTGGCATTCATAGAATCTCTCCAATCCATTCCCCAAAATGTTCTTTAGTTTTTTAAAATGCTCTTCACACTTAAAAAAAAAAAAAAAAAAAGGTTCTTTTAAGAACTGTTAACTGAATTTTTTTTTTTTGGAAACCAAAAATGCTTCTTCTGTGTCATCTCTGCGAAACCCCCCTTTAGGAAATTTTTAAGAGTATATAGTGTTTTATTTCCTTATTCCTCCTTGTTAAAGATTAAGGCTGAAGTTGGCAGCATGGCACTAGTCATGAATGTTCAGGCCATTGTTTTCTTCAGCTGTTTCTGGTCTGTAGCCCATCCTCCAGAGCTCCAGCGGTCCCTCCTCCCTCTCAACCCGGAATGTGACGCTCATATGTGGGTGTGAGACACGCGCATCACTGCGATATTCCGCCTCTCCCATCCTCCGCGTTCTTTTCGATCACCTTTGATGCTTTTATTCTACTTAAAAATCATATACTTCAAGTACAGACATGCATCTTCACGTATGAGGATAAAGGATGCGCGAATGTGTTGTTTTCCTCTGATTTATTGATCGGGTCGATCATAACGAGTAGGATTTTTTTTTTTAGATGAAATGATTCTCGGGATGAGATCGTAGTAAATGCGCGGTCAAACGGACCCCTCAGGTTTTTCTCCAGATGAAGCAGGAACGGTTTGTTTCCTCTAAGAGGTCGAGGGTTTGTGTGAAGCGGCAGAATGCAGCTGGAGGAGTCGGTAATATGATCAGTAATGTGCTGAAGAAACGCAACGGCATCTCTAGAAGAGCGCCGCGCCTGCTGTGCACCTTAGAGCCAGGTGAATACAGCATGCTTTAAAAGCATTATTTTTATTCATTATTAATCTTTGCCCTGTCTTTATAGATAAAACTGTTGCTAGGATTTCCTCCACCCTTTTATTTGCACTGGTGCTGAATGTAGAATGGTGTTTTTGTGATAATTAGGCCAAAACATTCCTATTTTCTTGTTTAACTACTTGTCTGTGCATCTGTGCATTTTAGTTGGATATTTTCAGTTTTTTTAATGAGTGGTGATTACACAACATCCCTTCATTCATTTGTTAATGAGACACCTGCAGCTCCAGAGGAGACGTCTTTATATGGTCATCATTGTCTCACGGATGTCCACTGTTTTGTCTTATTTCAGGGGTGGACACCCGGTTGAAGTTCACTATCGAACCTTCTTTAGGCAAGAACGGCTTTCAACAAGTATGTATTAGCTACCCACTGTTGAAGATGTGTGTCCAACTCCCCCTAAATAGAAATAAATAAACATTTTGGTTTGCATGTTGATTGTTTGTGTTTGTTTTGCTCTGTAGTGGTACGACGCTCTGAAGGCAGTAGCCAGACTCCCAGTAGGGATTCCCAAAGAGTGGAGGAAGAGGGTATATGTGGTGGAAATGTCTCTTTTCAGACACTAGCAATGTTTTCATATCTATGACATTTTATGTACTGTATAATGTTTGTGGTTTTTTGGTATAGGTATGGCTGACCCTGGCTGACCAGTACCTCCACAGCATCTCCATAGACTGGGAGAAAACAATGAGATTCGCCTTCAATGATCGCAGCAATCCAGATGATGACACTTTGGGAATCCAAATCGTGAAGGTATATATATATATATATATATATATATATATATGTATGTAGTTATATGCAGTTACTTTTTTATTTTAAGACAATTATTTAAGCAGTTATTTATGGAAACTTGTTTATGCCACAGGATAAAATCATCTTTTTTTTGTAAAATGTTGAGTTTATATCTCACAATTTGGAAATTTTTCTCGTAATTTTGAGAAAAAGAAGTCAGAATTATAAGGAATAAACTCGCAACTGCAAGAAAAAAAACTTAAGTCACAATTCCCTTTATTTTTTATTTCATCTGAGAGAGAAGAATTGTGAGTAAAAAAAGTCCAAATTGTGAGATAAAAATTGTGGGAAATTGTTTCCCAAATTGTGGGAAAAAAAAGGTAAATGTCACGTATTACCTTTATTATTATTTTTTTATTTTATGGCGGAAATGGGCTTCCAATGTTATTTAATTTTAAGGTGTATAATATATATATATATATATAATATTTATTTGTTTATTTATTTTATTTATTTTTTTGAAGTCACTAAATAGGCAGTACAAGCTGTAGTCATTATAAGGCAAGTAAATAAATCGTGGCTTTAGAGTAGGCGTTTAGCGTCAGAGATCTTTAATGGAATCGAGTCAGATAAAAGGTTATATGGTGCAGCAGGATATTTGCTCATTGTAGTGCGTCAGTTAGTGGGTAATGTAATAGGAGGTGTGTTTGTGTAGCTCTAGATGAGAGAGAACAGTGATCTATCGGGCACGTGTGCACAAGTGAGCAAAGTTCAGTGTGCTTATTATTTACATAAGACCTGTAACACTTTGTTTCCTGCCTCATTCAGGACCTGCACAGGACCGGCTGCAGTTCATACTGTGGCCAGGAGGCGGAGCAGGACCGCGTGGTGCTGAAGCGGGTGCTGCTGGCATATGCCCGCTGGAACAAGACTGTCGGATACTGTCAGGGCTTCAATGTTCTGGCCGCCCTCATCCTGGAGGTCACAGAGGGAAATGAAGGAGATGCATTGAAGGTTTGCCTAGACACCTATGAGCTCTGAGAAATTTTTTTTTTAAACATTTATTTTTGGCTGTTATTTACTTGTTTTTTATTTATTTTTGAGGAGGCACCAGAGGCAATCCTTTCTTGATGCCCTAATTTTTATTTTATTTGCAACCAGAATTGCAACTTAATCTATGATAAAAATGTGGAAATTATTCATCCAACAGTTATCCAACATACATATAACGTGTGTGTGTGTGTGTGATTTTATTTATTTATGTGAATATTTTATTTTATTATATATTTATTATTTTTGTTTCTCTTTCTATTGTATTTAATCTCCTTTTGATTTTGATTTTATTTTTTAATTACTTTTTTTTTTTTTCCATTTTCATATTTTTTTCTATTTAATTTTAAAATATTTAATTACTTTTTTAAAATAATTTTATTGGTCAAATCACATTTATGTTTTTTTATATTTTGTTTTTTATTTAATATTTAATAATTATTTCATGCATTCATATTATTATATTATTATATAAGCAAGGAAATATGCTAAAATTCATTATCTTTTATTATTGTTTTTTGAAAGGTGATGATCTATTTGATCGATAAAGTGCTTCCCGATAGTTACTTCGCCAATAACCTGCGAGCCCTCTCAGTGGACATGGCCGTGTTCAGAGATCTGCTGCGACTGAAGCTTCCAGAACTTTCTCAGCATCTCCACCATCTCCAGAAAGTAGCCAATCGGGAAGGAGGAGGTGTGTAGCAACCCTGTGTATATATACAGCATATGGATGCAAAAGAACGATGTCTGTTCCAGGTCAACTGCATTGTGTCGGCATTGTGTTTCAGGGAGCTATGAGCCTCCGCTCACCAACGTCTTCACCATGCAGTGGTTTCTGACCATGTTTGCCACTTGTTTACCCCATCACACTGTGCTGAAGATCTGGGACTCGGTCTTCTTTGAGGGCTCTGAAATGCTACTGCGTGTAGCTCTTGCCATCTGGGCCAAACTTGGAGAGTAAGTTTATCAATCATCTGTCCATGATAGAGAGTGGTAGAGTAGGCCAGATTCCAAAGAAAAATGTGATCATAAATTAAATATGAGATAATTTTCAGCTTGTATCAAGCATTCTGCATCTCTCTCTCAGGCGAATTGAGGAGTGCCAGACTGCCGATGAATTTTATAGTACTATGGGCTGCCTGACGCAGGAAATGCTGGAGCACAACCTTATCGACTCCAATGACCTCATGCAGGTAAGACTAAGCATATAAAAGATCTTGAATAATTAATGTAATTAATTATATATAAACCTTATCATATAACTAAATCAACTATAATAGCTTTAATGTTGCAAAATAGTGTTGAAAATGCCGGAAGTTTGCTTTTGGGGCTAAAAGCGTGTGTTTTCGTCCTGACAGATGGTCTACTCCATGGCCCCGTTCCCGTTCCCCCAGCTGGCTGAGCTCAGGGAGAAATACACCTACAACATCACCCCGTTCCCGACCCCTGTCAGAGCGAACAGCAGGTATGAGAGCTGAAGACACTCGACGCCCACAGCACAGATGGCATCCGTGAGAGTTTAGTAGTCATAACACGTGACCATGACTGCAGGGTGTCATTTTATGGCACATGTCACCTTTATTTATATAGCGCTTTTAACAATACAGATTGTGTCAAAGCAACTTTACAGTATTAAATAGGAAAATAGTGTGTCAGTAATGCAAAATGACAATAGTAAACACTCAATTTTCAGTTAGACACACATGTGTGTATATTGGCATGCAAATATCAAATGCAAATGTTCTGCCTTATCTTCACAAGCGTTATACTCAGTTTAATCATAATTTTTGACTTTTAAGAAGAGATGTAGGTAAGCAACAGTGCAATAATAAAGCATGTACATTTATTTCTCTCTATTTTAAAATGTTTATTTACATATTTCAGGTATTATTTAATTAAATTATTTTGGATTATTTTGTTCTTAATTTTTTTATGTTGTATTATTTTTTAAATATTTGTTTTCTATTTTATCTATATTTTATTCTGCAAAATATTTAATTATATTTTTAGTGTTATTCTTTTTTATTATATTATATTTTAATTCCTTTTAATTTAATTTAATTTAATTGTATTATATTTAAAAACATTCTAAAAAGTATTTTATTTTTCAATTTTATTAATTAATTTCTTTATATTTTCATATTTAATTACTTCATGTGTTAAAGTTTAGTACTTTATTTTTGTTTCTATTTTTAAAATGTTAAAATTATTTTATTAATAAATACAACAATTATTTTTACATAATTTAATCTGCATAATTTAATTATTTAATTAATTTTCTGGGTTTTTCTTTCTATTTAATTTTTTAAAATGTTACTTTTTCATATTATAATGTCTGTTTTATTTTATGCATAATATTGTTGTTTTTCCCCATGTATAGTCTTGCACTCCATGGATGGGAGAGTGATGATGATGATGCTGACATGGATGATGAAGACTCTATTGTCACTGCTCTGGGTTGCCTGGGGCCTCTTGGAGGACTTCTGGCCCCTGAGATCCAAAGATACCAAAAGCACCTTAAAGGTCTGTGCTTAATTGTCTTTCATAAGCCAAAAGCTGAAAGCAGATTTAATTGTGCAGTCTGTGAGGTTACAAACGTCACTCCTGCTCCATGATTTATATCCTGCTGAACACAGGAATTTATCAAATGCACAAGATGTTTCATATAATGTTTAACATTTTATGAGTCTCTAAAGCTGTATTGGCATTGTCAAAATACGGGTGATCTCATGGAGTAATGCAAATATGAGCTCAGTGTAGCTCACTCTGCCAACCTAAACCTGGCAAATCCTTCCCAATCCTGTCTGAATTTGTCCTCAAATGGATTTAATTCTCAGTGCATTTGTTAGTTTTTGTTGTATCTGAGGTGGGTCGACTCATTCCAGCTGTCCTTAATTACAGCCTTCAGTTCCAGTGCAACTAAACAAATGAAAGGTTTGGAAAGGAGCCAACGCAGCCATTACTCAAGTTACCCAACAAAATGTTTCTCAGATATTCTTGCATTTTCATTTTGGATGTTTTCATCTGGCCTGCAGATCAGAGAGCGGAGCAGAGCTCTCACGGCAGTAACATGGCCGAGATGAGTCCCGGGGCGGTGGGCGCGGGACGGGCCGAGCACCAGGCGGCAATCAACAGCATGATGCTGGAGCGCATGAGCACAGACATCAGCGCGCTGAAGAAACAGTACTCACGCATCAAACAGAAACAACAGCAGCAGGCTGGGCTCCTGTACATCCACACAGGTACAGGTCTTCATTTTGAGCGTTTTACAGTTGTAGATGAGTTCAGGAAGTGACAGAAGGGATAGTATGTAGTGTTGGTCAGTGTGTTGTTGTGACATTTTTCCCAGGACCTCGCGTGGAAGCTGAAACTATTGAACCTCATCAAGCCAGTAAACAGCAGAAGCACCACACTGGTACTGATTTTTGTGGGTCAACTATGGTTTCATTCTAGATAATTGGTGCAGTAGAGCTGTTTTGATCGGTGTCGGGTCTGCTACTATGTAATGCAATCACACTTTGTTTGGCATTTTGGTGACAGTTGAATTGATTAAAATCATGATATTTGCTTTGCAGGGGATTGGTACATGCTAAAGTTTGTTAATTACTTTTACATTTCTTAAAATATTGGCACATGGTCTGTGCCAATAATGGGCAGCACGCCGACATATAGTGCCGTTGTGCTTCAGGAGTCCCTAGTTCAAGCCCCGGCTCGCTGACCTTTCCCGATCCCATCCCCCTCTCTCTCTCCCACTTTGCTTCCTGTCTGAAAATACTGTCCTAAACTAATAAAGGCAAAAATGCCACACAAAAAAACTTATATATATATATATACATACATACATACAGTGGGGCAAATAAGTATTTGATACACTGCCGATTTTTCAAGTTTTCCCACTTACAAAGAATGGAGAGATCTGTAATTTTCATTGTAGGTACACCTCAACTGTGAGAGACAGAATCAAAAAACAAAACAAAAAATCCAGAAAATCACATTGTATGATTGTAAACAAAGGTTTCTGTACCAAATATTAAGTTCTATTTTTCTATTGTATCAAATACTTATTTCATGCAATAAAATGGAAATTAATTATTTAAAAATCATACAATGTGATTTTCTGGATTTTTTTTTTATTCTGTCTCTCACAGTTGAGGTGTACCTATGATGAAAATTACAGATCTCTCCATTCTTTGTAAGTGGGAAAACTTGAAAAATCGGCAGTGTATCAAATACTTATTTGCCCCACTGTATATATATATATTATTTTGATTGATTGATTGATTGATTGATGGGATGGAACATGTAATATTGGAGTAGCACCTCTACAGGATATAATGGAGAATTAAAGTCAACATGAATTCATAATAGGCCCTATTTATTTGCAGAACACACATTTGCAGAACACACGCAGTATTTTTAGCAATTCATAACTGCACACTATTTAAAAAGTTTAAATTTTTGTAATTTGTTATAAATAATTGTGTTTTATATTCGATAGAATTGATTATTTTTATCTGGATTATGGAATGAATAGAAAGTTCAAGTCTTCACTGCCATTTTTTTTGATTGAATTAAAAGATTAAAAGCATTTAATTAACGGCATTAATTTCTTTTAAAATTAATTCATAATAGGCCCTAATTATTTTTAGAACACATTCTTAATGTGCACAGTTCATAACTGCACATTATTTTAAAAAAAATTATATATAAAATTGTATAATTATGTAGAATTTATTTATATTTATATTATTTCTATAGTAATTTATTATATAGTAAATTATACATTGTGTGTGTGTTTATATAATTTATTATATATTTATATTTATTATAATAGGAATTTTTGTATTTCTATATCAATATGGTACAAGATTATCCTATTTAAATAAATGTGATGAACGTTTTAATTCAAAAGTAATCTAAAAGTAGTCTATTATATTATATATGCATTATAAATGTACTACTACTGTCACTTTTGATTAATAAAGCATTAATTACTTTCAAAATTAAAATAAAATATGTACTGACCCCAAAATTTTAAGGCCCGACTGATATGGGTTTTTTGGGGGCCAATGCCGATACCGATATTTGGGAGTAAAAAAAAGACAGATACCGATATATTGTGTAGGCTATATTATAGTAGGAATTTTTTTTCTGGGTTTGTCCATCGGACAAACTAAGTAGGAATTTTTTTTCCAATAGCTGGGTTTGTCCATTTTTAACCCAGCATTTTTTAGAGTGTATGTATATACTGTATGTATATGTACTGACCTGTTTTTTTTTATTCAGCAAAAATAAGACAAATTCCATGAAATTCCGCGTTATACAGTAAATTTCGTTTTTATGACTGGATTCCGCGATTCCGTCCATGTTTTCTGCATCGCGGAAATCATAGGGCCCTACTAATGTAGCAAACAAATATGATAAGCTCATTGTGAGAGTAAAAGACGAGGACATTGTTGTTTATTTACTTAGCATCGAGTCACTCCAACTAGGTGACAACGTAGCATTAAATCACCATTCAACAGACTCAAGCCACCACCGCACTGCCGTCTATTGGACTGCAGAAAGATACTAATTTTTCAATCTGCTACGTTACTGACAAACTGTGCTGACACAGTGTCTGCGCCATCCATTCATCATATCATCATGCAAAACTAAGAATTAGAATCATTGTAATGTGACGATCAAATATAGGTGCGGGTGGGTGGCAGGCGGATCATTTATTTGAAGCAGCGGACTTGGGTGAAGTTTGAGCTCATCCGCGCATCTCTACACTGACCTGGGTCGCCAGTAGCAAACAAAACTCTGCTGGACAAACTAAGTAATTACACCATTACAGCATTTAATCTGCGTTATATGTTCTGTAAAAAAAAAATCCATATCAGCGGCATATTCAGGCTCATATCGGCCGATAATATCGGCTAAACGATATATCGGTCGGGCTCTACTTTATATAATATCTCTATGTAAGAATAATATTATAATTTCTATAACTTCTATATGTCTTTTAACAAACTGTCAGCCTTTGAAACCACTTTGACAGTCTGTTTTACAATTACTAGTGTTTTCTTACTCATTGATATTGATTCTTCACAGATAAGTGTCCAGCCACCAGTATCCTTCCCTCCCAAATCGGTCCCTCCCCTGTGGTCAACCATCTTCTCCTGGGCAGGAGGCCCAGACCCGGTCAGCGGTCCTCTAAGAACGGGATCATCCATAACGGTGAAGGTCCTCAAGCCCACTCCACACCCAGCCAGGATCAGATGATTCGGGCCAGACATCACTCGCCCTGGCGCACACATGTGCGAGCGCACCGGAGGAACATCGCCAGGGCACGGGCGCAACTCAGGTTTGATGATTCTCTGGAGATAGAAGACGAACAAATGAGCAAAACAGAAGAAGCATCTGAAGAGGGAAGAAGTGAGGATGAAGAGCAAGAGAAGGTGGAGACTGTAAGCCCAGATGTCTCTCACCAAGACCACAGCTCTGGAGAAGGAGAAGATCTCCAGGAGATCAACAAGCAGTTGTCTTCTTTGGAACTGGAACCAGAACTTTCATCAGAAGCAGCTTCTGATCCAACTCCACAATCAGACGCAGATTCTGATGCACCTACGTCATCTCCAGAACCAGCTTCTGATGCACCTACATCATCTCCAGAACCAGCTTCTGATGCACCTACACCAACTCCACCACCAGAATCAGCTTCTTCTGATGCACCTACATCATCTCCAGAACCAGCTTCTGATGCACCTACATCATCTCCAGAACCAGCTTCTGATGCACCTACATCATCTCCAGAACCAGCTTCTGATGCACCTACATCATCTCCAGAACCAGCTTCTGATGCACCTACACCAACTCCACCACCAGAATCAGCTTCTGATGTACCTACACCAACTCCACCACCAGAATCAGCTTCAAATCCAAATACACCAACTCCACCACCAGAACCACAGCCAGAGCCCAAATCCACGGCCTCAGCTCCGCTCCCATCCACCCACCGTCCAGGTTCAGACTCATTCAGCTCAGAAAGCGGAGGCTCACTCAAAAGTAGCCCTTCAACGTCAGCAGGAGAACCTCCGAAACCACAGCAGATCTTCTCCCCGTTCCCTTGCATCAAAACCCCTCGCAAGTCCATCACTGCCAGAAACTTGGGCCTCTACGGTCCAAACGCCAGGACTCCAAATGTGCACTTTCCCCAGATGAGCAGAAGCATGAACCATGTTGGAAACACCACAAGGCGGCGATGATGAATAGTCGACTACAGGCGAGCACTTATTTGATTCTTCATATCGATACGTTTGGGTTCAAAACTCCAACCACGAAAGCACATCTCTAGTATGATTCCAGATACTCCAAAACATCTACATTTAGGAACAATATTTGATTATTTAATGCTTCCATGAAGTTTATAACATGAATTTATGAAGGCTGTTTCTTGTTTATTTTCTTTTTTTTTAGTGAAACCCTACCTAAACATTTGGGAATTATACCCGACACTGAAAGTATCTCTTGTTGCATGTTCAGGTCAGCAGTATTCACTACAATGCACTGTGTATGTTTACTGACATGCTTCAAAGCTCAGAAAATCACTTGTATGTAAAATACTCATGCTAAATGACTGGGAAATGCTGCAGTTCTGCATTGCACAGTCCAAAAATATTTTTTAGCAACCATTTACACTATTTAATCATATAAAGTCAACAAATTTTCCATGTTCGGTTGTTTCTGTTGTTTTTGACAACACTGGTGTTCATTTTCCAGTCATGTCAAGCCATTCATGTTTCTTTTATTTTGATCTTTCCTTAGTAAATTATTCATTTGCCATCTGAATGACACAAGTTGTTGTCATTAAGTTCTCTTTTCTGATGCTCTGGTCAAAACTCTCCGCAATTTAACATCCCTTTGAATGTTTCTCTTCTCTCTATTAATCTTTGGTGCATATGAGTAGTGGAGGATCACAAATGCCCCACAGAGAATAAAAGACGTGCAAGTATGGAAAAAAAAAAACTCTTCAGTTTCTACTTATTTCTGTTGTTTCCAATCCAATAAGTCATTTGTGTTTGCTTTTGAATTAAAACCACAATATTAGTTTTTCAGGCATAAAATGACACCTACTTTATCAAAACATGTAATCCAACTACATGGATGAACTGAATGGAAATGTGTGCATGTTATATGAAAGTGGCATATTCTGTTGTTTTTAACCAAAATAACCACCAGTATCTCATACTGGCATGATTATATCAGTGTCTTCTGGGCCTAATAGAGATTGTGCTCTGGTTAAATTATGACGTAATATCAACAGTCATTTAATTTGCCATCTTTACAAGGGCCTCATGAATAATTGAAATGTAAAATGCATTCAGCCTGAAGAGGTTTTATATTTAGCTCTTTAAAAACCTTCCGGAAACTACACCAACACTAGACAGTTAAGAGCTTATTATCTGTTTAAAGTCCTGTTTTTCCACTCACATCCACCATGTAACAGCATGTTATTTAGATTTTGAGGGTATAATAGGCATAATTTTCGCTTTGTATGTAATGTCTTTTGGACACGTTTTTAGCTCCTTCCATACTTCTTACATACTGTAAAGAATTGTTACCGTCATATGATGTGTAAAATGTCAACACAAGGCCTGTGCTTGCTTAAGTAGTCCTGAAACTCACTGAGATTGCAATATAACTCGTTTAACTACAATATAATTGTTTGTCTGTGGTGTTGCATCAGATTTCAGAATGTACAGCAAGTTCCTCTTCTGCAACTTTCATGCATGGAGTTGCAAATGAGCACTTTGTTCATAGAAACTGTTACATGTTTACTTTATTACTTCAGGTGTCTTAAGCATCAAAAGGTTGGTTGAAGCCACCATTTTGTGAGAACTTTGCACCATTTTTAAATAGTCTAAAAGCATGTAACAAATTCATCCTTTCCTGAATTTTTTTGTTTGATTTTCTTTTAATCAGTTGGTATTTGGTTGATTTTTATTGAACTCGTGAAGTAAGTTCACCACAAGTTCACAGGTGTAGTAGTAGAATCATGTTCCGCTAACATTTCATCACCACAACCCAAGTGTTAGCTTAATGTTAAATAGTTCTTTAGAATTTTTTGCCATTTTTTCTTTTAAAAAGAATTCGCCCCAGGGTGATACGATACGCTTTTAATACGTTACGGCCAACAACGACATGCTTCAGTGTGCTTACAGGCCCAAAAGCTTTCAGTGGCTGCTGTATGAAGTCATGAACCCATCAAGGAGCTGACAACCACTGCAGTAAAAGTCCGATCAATTCGGTGAGTAACAAGCCATTGTGTTTTGTAGCCTATGTGCTTAACACTTGTTTACTACTTAAACCCTAAGCAGACAACTATAATCATACAACATATTTAGTAGCAATAGCATCTCCGTATGTGAGCATGCAAAAAGCTGAAAAATATTTCTAAGCCTTTAATAGTTGACCTAGCTATTGCATAATGACACATGTTTGCGGTTACCAGCAGTTTGAGTTTCATTAATTCATTAATGATAAGTTCGGGATTTTCCAGATTTCTGGTCAATTTTATGAACTGACGAAAATGGAGGGAAATTATTTTCCCATACACTCCCTTTTCTTTGTTTTATAGCTTTTGTAATGCTTGAACACTAGATGTCGCTGTTGATCTAGCTTAGCTTTACTTCTCAAATAGCCTCGTACAGTTTAGGAGCTGACTGAGGGAAGAAATGTCCTATTAATGATATAAATAATGTAACAAAGAACCAATTGAAAGCATATTTCAATAAATATAAGGCCTTTTAATGAGTTTTTCCATGAAGATCACATTTGAAAAGATGACAGACGTGTACTTTGTTTTGAACCCTCTTTGCCTAAACATGCAGAGAAAGATCATGTTGAGAAAAAAGTTAGTCATAAAGTAATTAGGGTTATGACTTAATTTAGGGATGTCATGATGTCATCATCATGATGGGCTCAAACATCAGCTCTTCTCTTCCACACAGAGACATTATTGACATGATTTTATTGTAATGGTGTTTAGCAGGCGCCACAGTGCTTCTTCAGGATCTAATAATTAATCTATAAAACAGTGTTCATAAATCCACATGAGGAAAGATATGTCCTTGACTCCGGCTAATATGAAGATGCAGTGTTTGAAAAAGAAAGACGCGTGAATCAAACAGGCCTTAAAACTCCTTCAGCTCCAGTTTATTATTTAATCTCCCCCAAAGACCCAAATAAACCCTGAGTGTCATTTGTGCTGGATTTATGCATCACTGTGTCCTTGTGAGAAAATGTTGGATGCAGATTTCCCAAGGGATTCTGGAATGGTCTGAATTTAGTGTACTGATGGAATGGGCAGACGTGTCTGTTGAGACTGGCAAGATGCCGAGTTCGGCTTGTATTTACTCCACGTATGATTTCCTCAGGGGCCAATTTGTCTCATAGGGCAGAGTACAAGCTTGAAATGATCTGACTGATTTGTTTTTCTGGTCGTCAAGGTGTTGCTTTAAAGCTTGCAGGGGTCAGAAATCGAATGATTTCTTTCAAAATTAATTTTCAAATTTCTTAGTATTTCCCGTGAAAAAACACCCGATGATTATGTTGTCATGTATGATTTGAAAATGTTTCATTGGAAGCAAGAACATCTGACTGTCAGTCATTTGATCAGTGGTATAAATTTAGATTATAGCGACCTATTAGAAATACAGCAGAATCTTCCGTTTCTTTTTTTATTTGTTTTCAAATTTTTAAAATTCTAAAAAGTTTATTTCTATTTCATTTTAATGCCAGATTTTTTTATCCACAACTGAAAAATGATTGAAAACAAGATAAAAAAATTAAATAAAATAAGTTAAAAAAAAAAAAATAAAAAAATAAAATATAAAATATTGAGCCATCTGCCATCTAGTGGACATTTGTTTGTTTGTGATGATTCTATCAACTTGATCCACTGCTGAAAACATCTCGCTAATAAAAACAATAAAAAAGAATAATTAAAAAATAAAATAATGAATAAAATTAAAATAAGGTGTTTTGGGATTTTTCTAGCCACATGATCCACAGCTGAAAACTTATTGACATCTTATAAAAAACAACAACAAAAACATCATAATTAAAAAAATAATAAATCAAATAAAAATAAGTTGTTTGTGATGATTCTAGCAACATGATCCACAGCTGAAATAGATTGTCATCTAATAAAAACAATCAAATATAATAATAATTAAAGATAATAAATAAAAATAAGTTGTTGCCATTTCATCCAAAGCTGAAAAAAATGATTACAATCTAATGAAAACAATAACAAATAATAACAAAATAGAAATATATTGTTTGTGATCATTCCAACAACATGATCCACATCTGAAAAATTATTGCAATATAATAAAAATAAATTGTGATCATTCTAACATGATCCACTGCTGAAAAACTATTGCAATGTAATAAAACAGTATATAATAATGAAAATAATAAATAACATAATTACAAATGTAAAAAACATGATATTGAATGCCAGTGTGTGCAAATGTAAAAAAACCATACATACTGTATATAGAAATATATTTTTTAAAAGGTCCGCATTATATGGATGTGTTATGATGATGCAGTGTGACTTCTGTTTTCCCACCTATTTGAAGTTCCTGTGGAAAACCCCATTCCTGTCCCACCCAGTGACCCAGTAATGACTTTATTCAGAAGCAGAGATACTTCCGTTTTGTTAATTAACTGGCCGAGTGATGGCCACATTAATCCCTCAATCCGGTTCAGACATGGATTATTATCCGTCCCGTCATACAGGAGCGGGGACAACATGCGTGAATCCCACACTGACGTCCTCTTCTGCTCTGCTCCTGCACGACTGCGCCGTAATCTACATGTTATAATCCATGCATGCATGACGGGGTGTACTCACACTTCCTCTGCGTTTCCGGCAGGATTATGTACGGGTGAGAGTTTCATATTAAAGCTCAAAGAGCCAATAAAATGCATTGACAAGCAATGTTTTTTTCCAACTGATACTGGAAATTTAGGAAGGATCATATGAAAAGCCTTGTCACTTTTATGAACATGAAATGTTATAGATCTGCTACACTTTAAAAATGTACTTTTCGAAGTTGTAAATTAAACTAAGATTGTTGGAGTATGGAAGCTTGTTTCTGCCACGTAATAAAACAAATAAAAATGTTCAGTAATTGCAACTTTTTTTTCTTAAGTTTGAATTTATATCTTGCAGTTCCAACTTTATGTCTCGCAATTCGAACTTTTTTTTTTCTCAGAATTGAGAGAAAAAAGTCAGAATTCTGAGTCTATATCTTCTGAGTCTACATAGTTTTCTTTTCAGAATATTTTTTTTCTAAGAATTGCGAGTTAATATCTCACAATTCTGAGTTTATATCTTGTAATTCAGATTTTGTATCTTGCAATTCTGAAAAAAAGTCAAAATTGACTGAGTTGATATCACACAATTCTGACTTTTTTCTCAGAATTGTGTTTATATCTTGCAATTCTGAAAAAAAGTCTACATTTTTTCATTTAAATCTTTCAGTTCCAAGTTTACACCACACAATTCTGACTTTTTTTCTCAGAATTGACAGAAAAAAGGCCAGAATTCTGAGTTTATATCTGGCAATTCTGACTTTTTTTTTCTCTTTTTTTTATCCCATGGCAGAAACAAACGTCCATAGTTACTTATCATTTCTTCATAATTATGTGAAATTTACTTGCAGTTTCTGACTGAAAATAGTTTCAAAGTAAATCCTACACCAAATTTGTTTCCGTGCACTTGCTTTGCAAGTCAAAAGTAGGTGTTATTCTATGAATATTTTTGGTCTTTGGTTCAGAAAAGAATAAATTGAAATGCACATATTTTTATCTAACTTTTATTTTGTTAACTTACGAGTTCAAAACATATTTAGAGCTGACAGAAGACTTCTTCTGGTCTGCGTGTTGATCGGTCAGTGATGTTGGTCTGCTGTTCTTGCTTTCACTCACTCAATTTCTCATTCATGAACTTT